TGCTTTCCTGGCATAAGTGCTCATTTGAAAACTGCTACTGACTTTCAAAACAATGATAATATTCTGCAATTTGTTCCATATCTAGATTTGGTTTCTGATGTTGTTTTGGATTATATGCATGTTATTTGTTTAGGAGTTACTAAAAAGTTACTTAATTTATGGACGAGTGGAAATAGTTATTATAAACTTGGTCAGGAAAGTAAACGAAAAATCTCAGACAGATTGGAAAATTTAATAAATATATGTATAAGTATCGAATTTCCTCGTAAACCAAGATCATTGCAAGACTTAAAATATTACAAAGCAACCGAATTCAGACAATTGCTTCTATGTACAGGACCCATAGCTTTTCAAGGATTTTTTGATAATGACATATATTTAAATTTTTTAATTTTACATGTATCTATACGAATTTTGTGTATGGAAGATGCCAGCGAAGAAATGATTAATTATGCTGATGAATTACTGAAAAATTTCAATAAAACATTCACTATACTATATGGTGAAGAAAATGTATCTTTTAACGTACATGCTCTTCTGCATTTAGCAAATGACGTACACAAACATGGGCCACTTGATTACTTTTCAGTTTTTCGTTTTGAAAATTTTCTTCAAAAAATTAAAAATCTCATACGTAAACCTCAAGACACATTATCCCAATTACATCGTCGATATATAGAAATGCATAATTGGATAGATGTCAGCAAACAATATGTAAAAAAATGAAATTGCCGTTTTGAAAGAATCTCTTCATGAAGACGGTCCTCTTTTGCCCAATTGTACTGGCCCACAATATAGCAAAATCTTAGGATTTGACTTTACTTTAATAGCTGGAGACAGAAGAGACAATGGCTTTTTGAGCTATGACGGAAATATAATTGTACTTAAAAATATATCCTTTGATAGAACAACTTATTCTTTAGTCCTAATAGAACAATACTTCACTGTCGTTAAAGATTTTTATACTCTTCCTTGGAAATCGCAACTTGTCGGCATTTATCTTGGATCTAAACTTTCTGATCTAAGGCATTTAATGGCCATTTAATGGAACTATTAAAAAGAAATGTTTAAGAGTACTGTGGAAAAGAAACAAAAATGTTATCATATCTCTATTACACTCTTATGAATAAAAAAGTTCTCTTTACACATAACAACTTATATAATAATATGTATCTAAAATAATAATACAAATTAAAGATACTAAAATTTTAGGGTATGTTATATACATCGTATTTCCTTTTTTCAATATTCATTAAAAAATTTTTTTAATGTTTTATATATTCATTTTTTAGGTTATTATAACGACAGATATATTTGTGACAATAGGCAAAGGATTGTTTTATGTTATTGAATTCTTTGATGGAATCCAGATCATTCCGGATAACTGGGTTATTCAAGATGAAGCCTTAGTATATTGGCCCAAAGTAAAGTCAGATAGAGAATATGACATTATGGCCCATGGTGTAATAACTTATGAATCATAATGTTATGAATCATAATGTCGTATTCAAATTTCGCGGTTGCATTTGGACCCAAATATGATTGGTTGTTCTATTATGCCACCGCCATTATTAGTAATAAGACAAGGGCCGGTATTCATAGTCGATTCTTATTTCAAGACCGTCTTAAGTAATGTCTTAAGACGCTAATGCAGCTCTCTGATTGGTTCGTGACTTCTTGAATACGTTCTTAAGATGGTCTTGAATATAAGTTCTGACTATGAATACCGGCCCTTGTCTTATTACTAATAATGGCGGTGGCATAATAGAACAACCAATCATATTTGGGTCCAAATGCAACCGCGAAATTTGAATACGACATTATGAATTTAATGATATAAATAACATAAAATCATAAAATCACGATTTTCAATAAAGTACAACATAAATAAACCTGAAACAATAAAAATTGAATAAAAAATTACCCCGCAAATCGCCGGTTCGCGTAACGTAACACGGTAGTGTCGCTGCTCTTGGTCTTAGCGTTGAGACACTACCGTCTCTAGCCTTTACTAATTCTGGCAATAAGAAAAAGGGAGGGCTCCGATTGCACACATGTATCGCTGATTGGCCAATTTAAAAATAAAATAATCTCATTGGCAAAACAGTAAAAAATTACTAGGCACCAGTTGATATGAGTGGTGTGTACAATCAGAACTGTAGACAAACGGGA